TTATGAACCATTTTAAATCCCTCAAGACACATAAACTATGTTCTGACACCAAAAGACACTGTAAACAGCCAAAAAGAAGTGATATGATTTAAATATAATATAAAAAATTTTCCTTCCTGTCTGTATTAACCGAAGTGTAAGCACCCAGGTTCTACAAGCTGGCACCCACACGAGCACAATCAAGCACAGTGTGAGCTGGCACTCATCCATGAAGAAGGGGGATGTGGACTCTGGTACGTGTGTGTGCTTTGGTGTACATGAACACACGGGTCAGCTAGTGTTTTCCTTCCTACTGGGTTCTAAATCTGAATATCCAAAATAGTATTTTTAGAGTTATCTATGTATGCCAGGTACTTTCCAGGTGTCAACAAAAGAGACAAAAATCCATGCCTTTATGAAACTATATTCTAAAAAGGGGAGCTATAAGAAATATTTTCATAGATACCTACTTTAATTTCACTGGTTAATATGAGTCTCTGGAACCTAAAATATGTATATTGTTTTAGTCTTTTTGATCCTATATCAGCAAACAAGAGGTTCACATATTCACTTTTGAATGTGAAAATTTAATTTATTTATCTATGTGCTAGATGTACTATTAGTTACAGTAAGCAAAATAAGCCAAGAAGTATGAAAATCATAATCTATGCAGGCACAGGTGTTTATGCCTGTGAAGTCATTTAAGTGTGAGGACTAATGTGCACTGTTCTGGAGATCAAAGTGATTAGAACTCATATGAGGCCATACTTATTAGATCTCAGGCAAACAAAATAAAATTAAAAAGACAAACTATTCAACAGAGTCATTTAGGAGAAAGGTTTAAGGTTTGAGATTGATTCATTTAATTAATAAAGGCTGATGGGAGAAAAACACTAACATTTATCAACTCAGAGCCAATATATGACTAATGGCTCTTCATTAACATAGGAAAGCAGAATGTCAAGTGTGACGAGTGCTGGAGAAATTTCAGTCTCTGTTTTGTGAAAATAAATTAAATTTTTTTTAGGAAAAGCACCACAATCAAGATTATAGTCTTTGTGTTGCAATGTTTTATTTCTGCCTTCCAAAAAGAATAACATTGCCATTGTGGAAGGCCATGATTCACTTTATAAAGAAAAAGGGGTGTAATTTTAAAGTCTAAGTTCATTATGGATCAGAGATGATTCCAAATTGGATATTTTAGATTACAACATCCAGTCTGATTTCTTGCTTCTGACAGATTTCTAATCTCTCAAAATTGACAGGCATGAAATGTGCTTGGTCTTTGGCCATGAGAAGAGAAGCAGCCGAGGGACAAACCGTAGAGTCCAGGTAGCTTTGGTTCAGCCTCTGGTGGCAGCAGGAATTGGGTCAATCGTTCACCTAGTGATGGATGTCTACTGCATGTAATGGGCAGTCCCAGTGGAGCGTTGTTTGTAGGTGTCTCAAGTACAAAGACTCACTAACACTGAGCCAACAAACGTTATGCTATTACCGATTTTAGTTGTATCAAATAGATGAAAACGTAGAAATAAAAAGTCACACTACATTTGTTAACACTTTTATTAGTGTGCATAAAAAAGGGGGAAAAGATAAAAATAGTGAACTGAAATGATAGCAGCAAATAAAACACTAGTTACCTAGACTGTGAAAGTACTATTGTCTGACTTAAAGGAAAATGGAGTGTTTATTTCTATAAATTAAAAATAAAGTACTCACCAAGATGTATGAGGTACGAATAACCCTTGATAATGGTTTCTGCTCGAAAAGAATCATCTTGATGATCCACGATTACTGAGTCCAAATTGATATCCTTAACAAGAATGGAAAAACAAAACAAGAAAAATTCAGAAGTAAATTATTTTTCTGCAATACTCCAGCCAGCTTTTTGCTGGCCTTAGGCGCTATCAAATGGCTCGGCTTCCATAGATATAAAGAAACAGTCTGCTCCGGTACCATGCTAACTACTGTTGCTCTGTCTGCACCCACTGTTGTAGCCACTTCATCAACCCAGCCCGCGGAAGCTCCTCCCGGCCGATTTCCCCAAGCATGCAGCTCCTCTGCAGACACCAGTCCCCTAGTTCCATGTCCAGAGTATGAGGTGCTCTTTTGAGGAACATGCTGACTGGATTTCTCCCACGATAAATTCCTTCATATTTCTCGAAGTGCATGGTACAGTCAATATTCATTGCCAACACCAAATTCCAAGACATCAACTCTTCTTCGGTCTTCCTCATTCATTATCCACCTTTCTTATGCAGATGAGGCTAATGAAAATAACATTGCTTGAGTCCAGTGCACATTAGTGTTCCAAGTGATATCTTTGCTTTTTAACACTTGAAAGAAGTATTTTATAGTAGATGTGCCCCATGCAATACAGGCCATATGATTTCTTGACGGGTGCTTCCATGGGTGTTGATTGAGGGTGACAACTGCAATCTTTTCCCTGTTTATCATGAGGTTGCTTACTGGTCTAGTTGAGAGGATTTTTGTTTTCTTTACATTGAGATGTAATCCACACTAAAGGCTGTGATCTGTGAGCTCTTGTTTAAGAATTTCAAGCCTTCTTCATGTGCAGCAACAAAGCTGTCATTTACATACCGCAGGTTGTGTGTCTTCAAGTCATGATGCCGTTGTTTTCCATACAGTCTAGCTTCTGAGATTAGTTGTTCAGCATAGAGATTGGAGAAGTTTGGCAAAAGGCTATAACCCTTACACACACTTCTCCTACACAGTATCCCCTTGTTCTCTTGGAACCATGGCCTATGAGTCTATGTACAGGCTCTGCACGAGCACAATTGCTTGACATGGTTTGTCCTTTTGGCTGCCCATGGTATTTTCAACATTCTTCTCCAGCACTACACATACATTGATTCTTTCTTTGGTTTTCTTTATTCAATATCCTATTTTCACATCCCCCTGACTTGAGTCAGGGGCACCCTAAGTCTTCAAAGTAACATCCTTGATTTTTAATACTCTAAAGAGGTCATGTGCAGATTTACCTAATGCAATACGTGTTTTGATCTCTTGACTACTGCTTCCATGAGCAGTTATTGTGGATCCATGTTAAGACATAATTCTTGACAACTTCAACCTTTCCTCAATTTACACTTTTAGGATATTCAGTATTAGCTCATATGATGCTTGCTACAGAAAAGTTAAGACAACTGTCTCTCTTCAATGTATATATGCCTTACTCACTAGTCTCTAACCTCTAAGCAGAGGGCACTGGCTTTAGTAGGTGCTCAATAAATAGTTGCTGAATAAATAACATAACAAAACGCAATGCAATCAGGCAAGAAGTCAAAATATTTGTGTTTATGTTAGCTTTTTTTTTTTTTTTACAACGGTGTGGTATTGAGCTAACAACCTCAGCCAGAGGCTTAATAAATTTGTAAATGAATCTATAAATAAGATTTTCTGGGTGGCACAAACAGTTAAGAGCTCTATTATTGGCTTCAGCCCATTGTGAAGGCTTTGTGAGACACCAAGACAAACACACACAGGTGACAATTCAGGAACGATGAGCATTACACGGAAGAATACAGCACTGGATAAGCATTGGCTGGAAGGAAAACTGAACACACAGAGGAAGTGAAACATAGCAAAGGCGCCTGCCAGCTGGCCTGGCCCACCCACACAGCCATATTAAAGACAGAGCCAGCAGTGCCCTCAGATGAGCACTGGAAGTCACTCCAAACAGACAAAGAGATTGTGTGGCACACGGTGCACAGGACATGGACTGGGGCTGACAGTGCCCGATATCTTGGGATCTAAAGAGCAGAGAGGGAACCAGGATCTAGACAAAAACAAGTTAAAATGGCTCAAGAAAGTTAGCAAAACAAAGTGTGTGGGGGTGGTGGGGGTGGGGGGGGGTGGCGGGGGAGGTGAATCTTCCTAAAGAAGAAACTACAATAGAAAAGAGCTACTTGAGAAGGAACTCAAAAGGATTCAGGATCCTCAAAAAGATCAAGGAATCTACAGGTGGAAAAAAATAACTCCGAAGGATTCAGAGAAAAAAAGAACCAAATGATAAAATCAATTTGTTAGAAATTATTCAAAATAACTAGAAATTCAGAAAATTAACTAAAAATACCTGAAATATGTTATTCAACATAAGACCATCCAACAGAATGCAACTATAGGAGGAAAAACAAGCAACAAAAGCAAAACAGAAAGAAAATCCCTTGACACTAATTTGCTCATGGAAACATCAGGAAAACACGGAGAACGTCTATGAGTTATCCAGAACACAACCAAGAAGAATTTATGCATAACCAAACGTTTAGAGAGAAGTTCTGAAGATATCTTGGTGAAAACGTACCATATATAATGAGAGATAAGGTTACTCAAGAAGTTCAGTGAACCCCATTCAAGATAGAACCTGCCCCGTTGGCAAACATTCATCAAGACATACAATCAAACTTTCCAAACTAAAAGTAGCTCATGAAAAACATTATTACTTATAAAGGCCACCAATAAAACTAAGAGCTGATTTCTCAACAGATACCAAGCAAGCAAGAAGGTAAAGAATTACCTGAAGGAAAAGAATTGCCAACTAAGAATTAAATATCCAGCAAGTCTTTCATTCACAATGACAAAACTAAAGGAATTTGTAAAAACAAGATCAAACTTACAAGAAATAGAGAAGCCCTTTGGATAGAGAACTAAGGGCATGTGGCAACATTCTAAGAGAAACACAATTTCATCACCCAAATGCCTACCCAGACAAAGATTTCCCAGTAGCAAATAAAAGCATAAAAACAGACCAAACAGAAGACATGCTGTAAATGATGACAACTTCAAAACAAAAGGGCAGATTAAAAGATGTAGTTATATATATTCCGTGTGGGACGGAAATAAAGTACATTTCACAATATAACAGACTATTTTAATTTTTAGAGGATTAAGGTAAACCAGAATATCAATAACCAAACGCAATAAATCTACTGACAAAATAAAGAAGAAAACACAAAAAACTCAGTAAACACACAGACAACAATAGCAACTGATAGGACAGATAATCCTTGTACCAAAGATACTCAGCACAGAAAACTAAGCAAAGAAATTGCTAATGCTGCAAAAAGAAAAACTGTTAACACTAATGGATTCATATCTGTTGTTAATAACACTGAATACATTGACACCACCAATGAAAAGAGTGGAATAATGAATTTTTTTTAATTTACTTTTTAAAAATCATTTTATTAGGGGCTTATACAACTCATTACAATCCATACACACATCAACTGTGTAAAGCGCATTTGTACATTCATTGCCCTCATCATTCTCAAAACATTTCCTCTCCACTTAAACCCCCGGCATTAGGTCCTCATTTTCCCCCTCCCTCCCCGCTACTCCCTCCCTCATGAGCCCTTGATAGTTTATAAATTGTTATTTTGTCATATCTTGCCCTGTCCGATGTCTCCCTTCACCCACTTTTCTATAATGAATTTCAATAAAGTAATTTTATTTAAAAACTGAGGAAAAGACATGAACAGGCAGTCAACAAACACATAAAGAGACGTCCGTGAGATCATTAGCTGTTAGAGATGCAGATAAAAACCACAATGAGATACTATCACAGCCCTGTAAAATAATGGTATTGATCAAAGAAGAAAAACATTTCTGTAACAATAACACCACAAATCTGTAAGTGGTTACACCGAGTGCTATGTAATCCATAAAGACAGGGAGGATGTATGGTAGGTAGGACATGCATGTGTACTCATAGCTAAAGTGGGTATTTGTACATCCATATTTGTATATGTTGCATATATATTCATATATAATAAAACACATAGAGACCAGTTTTGGAAACTTCCTAGACATGTCCAAACAATTGTGAAAGTGAGTAACTGGATCTGCAGGCTCAGGATCTTAGTCTGGGGGAATATCTAGGGCGATTGGCATGGTAGAGTTCAGAGAATGTTCTACTTCCTACTTTGGAATAGTGTGTGAGGCCTTAAAAACTTGCAAGCTGCCATCTGAGACATAATTTTTAGTTTCTTGCCAACTGAAGCAAAGGATAATGAAGGACACCGAAGACTCAAAGAAGAAATCGGTCTAAAGAGCCAGTGGCTCATATGAACTAAATCTTCCTCTAGCATGAGAACAAGAGAAGTTAGATGGTGCCCGGCTAGCACTACTGACTGCTCTAACCAGGAACACCATAGAAGGGTTGAGCTATCACCTCAAGACAACTCTGTTAACCTCAAACTGGAGCTACTTCCAGAAGTCACCTTTTAACCTATTAATTGGCCTATAAAATAACCAATAACACCTCTAAATAATGTGGTTTTTTTGGGTAATAATCAACTATACAAAATCAAATAAGCAACATTTGCCAGAAAGCAAGGATAGGCAGGGAAACTGGACAGATGGAAACAGGGAAGTCAGGGGGCAGGTAGGGAGGTTGCTGATGCTTTTCAGGGAAAGCAACCAATGTTGCAAAATACTTTGTTTTTGAAATTTTTAATAAGAAACTAACTTCCAGTGTACACAGTCACCTGAAACACAATAAAATATTTGCTTTTTTATTTTTTAAGACCTCTACTATCAGCTAAAAGGCTGGTATCAAGGAGATAGGGCTGCCCATCTCTTCAGACACATGTCACAAGTTTGGAAAATCCTGGGGAGTGGCTCTACTCCACACACACTTGGCTACCATGAGTCACAATAGAGTTGACGGCAACATGCAACAGTTCACACACACCATTGTTGGTGCAAAGTACTTTGGCCATGTCTCTCTCTCTCTCTCTCTCATTTATAGCATACACTGAACAGTCTGCATCGAAAATGTCCCCTTTAAGAAGGCATCCTCAGTACACCAGTGGCATTACTTTGGGGAAACGGATTCCAACTTCCTTAGCTCCAGCCCTCTTCATTATGATAAGGAGACAATAATTAATTGTAAGGAATGAGAACCAGGAAAAGCTTCTTGCCTCTTGGCTGCATCAGCAGAGGCAGGTGACTCCTGTGGAACAGTCAACTCCAGTCAAAGGAGCCCACCAGCTCCTCTGTGGTTCTGCTCCCAGAAAAATGGGACCGATTCTCAAAGATTCCCAGCTAGTAAACTTGTGTCTAAATCTACATGCTTCCTCAAAGCATGCCAGCTGCTGGAGTATGTTTGGAGACATGAGTGATCTGTCACTTTATCTTACTTCCCAGTTGGGCAGTAATGTAAGCTCCATGAAAGCCAGGTTTCTATGGACATGACCCCTCTTTAGGTTCACCTCTTACACAGACCTTAAATGCAGCAGGCGTTCAAGATGTACTTCACGACTAAATCTCCCCAAGTTTTGCTTCCAAAGGGCATCTGAACACCATTAGTGGCTTAAGGATTTGAACCCAAAGAAAGACCGTCTCTTTATGTTTAATAAACTTGTTCTTATGGTGAACTTGACGGGTATTCTCAGTTTTGTGATCCATGTTTTAAAAGGGGGGACAACAATCACTTCCCTGTCTAGTTTGTAGATGTTTTAAAATGCTATAGTATGCACATTACAACCATACTGTTTGAAACAAGAATGCCTGGATTCAAAATGTCAGATCTGTCACTCGTTCTAAAACTTTGGATAAATTAAGCTCTGACTCTTCTGTGAAATAGGAATAGCATTAGTATCTACTCCATATAGTAATTGTACAGTTTTATTACGTTAATTCAAGAAAAAAAAGTTAGAAAATTACCTGGCACATGACTAACTTTTATTGCCCCTATCTTTCTTTTGCTGATCTTAAAAATGTGTTTATTTGTAACAATGATAACACAAAAAGACAGAACAGTGAGTAACTGCTAAGGCTGCTTATGTACAACCAAATGCCTCCTGGGATCTGGCTCCTTGGTTCGGAGGTTTGGAGTCATGGTTTCATGGGACATACCAGTACACTGGACTAATAATGTGTTGGTGCTCTTGTCCTACCCCTGGCTTGTTGTATGGTGCCAGGGTTCTTAAAAGCTTACAGTGGCCATCCAAGGCACTACACGGGGGCTCTGACGAAAGCAACAAAAGAAGGAAGATAATTAGAAACAGGAAGCAGATACAGAATGGGTGGCTAATTCTGATTAAATGGGGAAAATGCAAAGCAGAATTTAAAATTCTCATGGACCCCAGGCCTTCTGAAACCATGGAGGTCATAAAAATAACTCACTGCCAGAGTCAATGCTGACTCATAGCAATCCCTGTGGGTTTCTGAGACTGTAACTGTTTGTGGGTCTTTCTCCCTCAGAACTGCTGCAAATAGCAGTCCAATGAGTATCCACTACACCACCAGGCTTCCATGGAGGTCATACGAATCCCTGAAACTACTGTCCTGAGATACTCTTTAAAACCTAAATCAAAAATATCCCTTGAAATCTTCTTCAAGTTAAACAATAATTTAGCTTAACTAGTAAAGAATGTCTGCCTTGAGTACTGTGCTTTTTCAGGTTATACCTATACGGAACCAAATTCACAACTGCAACTCGGAAGATTAGATAGGAACCTCAAGGAACAGTGAGTTTATGTTAATGGGGGAGGAGCAATCCAGAGAAGGAAGATGAGATTAACTCAAACTGAATGTCACTAATGTTACTAAATTGTACACAGAAATTATTAAATTGGTGTAGATTTTGCTGTGTATGCATACTCTTGAAAACATTAACAGTAACAAAATACAGATGGAAGGAAGAAAACGTGTTTACCTTCTGTTTAGTATATATCACAATGGTGACCAAAGTGTCTGTCTGGAACCAGTCAAAGCTGCAAAATATTAAGAATGCAAAATTATATTGACAATCATGTTTGTTAACATATATTAAATCATTAAGTGTTAAAAATTAACAGTGAAAAATATTGCTCTAGGTTACACTTTTTCTAAATCAACTGGTCTTCCTAGGGTAAGCTCTTCATTATATAACTAAACTTAAAAACTCAACTTTCACATGTTCAAATCTGGATAAAAATAAAGCATCATTAAAAATCAAACAAACAATTTTTATAAAGGTTATACATGTCTTCACTAAAACCTTCTTATTTTAGAGTCAATAGAGCATAAATACATTTTGATAAGGAAAAGGAACAAATCTACATGCGTATGTCCTTCATTCTCCCTGGTCACAGACAGACTACTACTAAAGAAATCAACTTATCAAAGTAGTATCATAGGTTAAGAGGACAGTGTAAGGTTTGATTAAGTCTTCTGTTTTATGCACCCACAGGGAAACTCTTGAGGAATTCTAACACCCTTACTTGAAATTGTATTGAAATAATTTGGCAGATTAAAAAATACAGAAATATATGAGGGGTTCCAAAAAGTTCACAACAAACCAGGAATTAAAATTACTCTAACTTTTTAACCAATTTTCTGGAGTACTTATCTAGGGCTGATAGAATTCAAACCACTGCTTCTTTTAACACTTTTGTCCATATTTCTCTATATTTTCCATCATGACGGGTGTTTTATATTCAGAAAAACTACTGTAAAATATTGTTTTAAACTCTAGTGTTTAAAATGCATCATGCCTACAGCAAAGATATAATTAAAATTCACGCTGCTGGAACAGCACTTTCTCCAATCATGCCCACTCCACGAAGTAGCGGAGGTTTTGCGTCCAAGCAGCATGATTAATAATCAGTAATAAATCAAACACAGAGCTACTTTGGTGGATAACTGATTCAGTCTTACATTACGTAAAACAAGGATTCATACCTTAGAGAACTAGGGCCTTCTTTGGCAAATGTATCTGTCACTTGGCTCTTAGGAAGAATGCCTTCACAAAGAAAAACAAACAAAATAGTTAACGTTAATTCAAACAGTGTCTGTCAGCCTGTTTCTGGCTCTGTTCCCCACACCCCGCATCACACACCCGATAAGTGTATTAAAATTATACATAACACAAGAAGATACATATCACAAATGTACAACTAAATAGCCTTTCACACAGCAAACATACACTTGCAGCCAGTACTCACTTCATGCTTCCTTCCAAGCATTCTCCTGATGACCACTACACTGACTTCTGACCATGTGATTAGTTCTCCATTTTGACCTTTATATAAATGGAATCTTAAACTATGTTGTGTTTTGGTCTGATTTTTTTGTCCAACATTATAAACATGATGTCAAACAGGAGTGATTAATAATAAGCAATAAATCAAAACTAAAACTGAGAGTTTGCCCATGCTGCTGAATGCATCAGCATTATGTTCATTTTGATTACTGGAGTTAGGTAGCTGTTGTGGGAGGATATCCCTCATGTTTCTGCAAATTGTTGCAATGTCCCAGAGAAACTCATAAACGGATGAGGAAATGTCTCACGTGGCTGTGGAGGTCATTCAGTCCAAAATCTGAAGGTCAGGCCCCTGGGGTAAGCCAGACTCCGGGTCTAGAGGACTCACTCCACTCCTAGCTCTTGCTGGTGATGCAAACACACTCTTTGCTGCTCAGAAGGCTCATTTAAACACAGCAGGTTCGCACTGCAGGACATCCTAGTCCCAGTTACTCACAGGTGAATCCTACCGGTATCTTTCCCCACACCTTCTTACCAGATCCATGCAGGGAATTGCTGTTTGGTGAGAGTATCCATAGTGCAATGAAATTCACTTATAACTCCTCACCATTTTAATGAAATCAAAATATAATGATCCATTCTCCACCCTCGAACTGTATCTTATTTATGAGCATATAACCTGGGTCTCAGGCAGGATATTTCTACCAGGCATTGGTTTCTTACTAATCTTAATTTGCTCCCAAGCCCCTCTAGAGGCAGCTTTTCTCTTCTCAGGCATAGCACGCTGTTCTTCACATCCAAGACAAGTGACCAGAACAAGTAGACCAAAGAATGAGGCCTGGTTTACATCCTCTACTCATGTTAGGTCTTAGTCTCATCCTATTCCTGTTCATCAGCACATAATGCCCTCCAAACTGGGACAACAGCCACAGGCGCATGAAGTCCAGAGTTAAATCACATAAGGGATTAAGGCAGAAAGAGCCATATTAACTGACTATAACTCACCAGGAAGCCCCAGAAATGTAACATAGCAAGGTCAAGCCTGTGAACTAATCAGCAGTGGACCCTAAAAAAGAATGCTTAACCACAAAACTATAGCGGTAACATGATAGAATAATTAAAACGTGTTTTTCCCTCAAATTCCAAAAAGCAAGACATCTTAGTGATCACTTCTTGAGAAGTGATTAAAATATTCTATTTAAAAAGCTGTCAATTGAATTAATAAACCATTGATCTATTTTATATATGATTGATGAGGACCAAATTATTTTTCTTGGTGCCAGCACTGTGGTCTTATATAAACCAGTTTCTTCTACCTAAATTCAAACTAGTAATGAAAACTGCCACCATGTCAATCATACGAAAGAACATATACAACAATTTCCAAACATCCTGAAATACTATACAATATTAGGGGGCTTCAAAAAGTTGGTGGAAAAGGTCCATTCTCTTTTATTTTCATTTTTCCAGAAAGTTTTGAATCCCCCTCCCTGCCCCTGCATTCAACTGTTAACTCGTAGTATAACAGACAAATCATAGGCAATGTAATGTCTTGATATCAATATCCCACCCCCACCTCCAGAAAGCTAACACAATTATTACGCTGGATAAGTTGGAGAAATGTGGGGTACATATCGGCATAGTGAAATAATTAAGCAAAGTAAGATGGACTGAATGAACATTCTAACCCCCCAAAGTACTGAATGATGCCTATGAGAAGGGATAGGTATCTATTGGAATCTTAAAATAGTTTACCCTCAAAATATTGTAAACAGATGTTTGAATACTGACACAGAAGGCAAGAATATCTGAAAGCCACAAGTTTAAATGAGTCTGATGTATAGGAGCCCTGGTGGCATAGTGGTTACATGTTGGGCTGCTAACAGCTAGGTCAGCAGTTCAAAACTACCAGCTAATCCAAGGAAGAAAGATAAAGCTTTCTACTCCCATAAAGCCTTATGGTCTCAGAAACCCAGAGGGCAGTTCAACCCTGTCCTACTGGGTCACTGTGAGTCAAAACTGAGACAACTGCCATGTTTGCTTACATGTAAACATCATATCTTTTAGGTTCCAGTTGTTGAGTGCTAGGCTTAACATTTACAGCCAACTATAAACTGAGATATTAACTAAACACCCAGATCTAAAGATGGGCAAGAGGACAACAAAGGTTCTGGAAGCAGTATGTGACGAGAAAGAAAATGCTCAGTCCATCAGTAATCAGCCTGTATGGGAAGAAGTACCATAGAAAGCCAGCCCCAGATTAAATCTCATTTAATCAGACCCTCATTGAATGCAATATTATGCCAGCACACAAACAACTTAAGATGTAATCATATACCAGTTAGTCTACAAAACAGACAATTTCCTCTAAATAAAAAAGGGTCATTAATTTGACAGTGTAACTTGCTAGGTGAGTTTCCTTAACTATCTTTTGCAAATAAAACATAAAACCGTTTTCTAACCTGACCCAAATAACTTCTTCCCAAGCTTTTGTCATGGGGTAACGTAGCAGTGTGAGTCATAGTTGCAAGTCAGACTGAATTCTGAGGAAGAATTCCTCAGACCTGTCCACCCCAGAAAAGGGTAGACAACTCAGCACAGAACCTCCAATTGAACAGTGGGGTGAGGCCAAGTACCTGACTGACTTGTTCAGTCTTGTATCAGGGTGAGACTCAGAATCTGAAGGGGGGACTATTCAAGGATATCATCAAAAGAACTATGACAGGCGGTCCCCACATTTCTAATGAGATCCCTTCCTAGCCACGTCTTAGAGAATGTGCAGGGAAGTTGGAATAGATGTGGATAGTTCTTGTTTAGCCTTTCTAAAGGTTCTAAAAGTTGCACACGCACCAGGTGAAGGTGACGATGATGAAGAATTTATTGAAAACAGGAGTTGGTTCACTTCAAAATCAGGGTACATTTACATACATTAAAGGGCAAGTAGAAGTTGTCATTAAGTCTGACATTACTTACCTGCAGCTGCCTATACATGAGAAAATGTTGAAGTAATGGACCTATAAAGTTCTCTCAAGTTTTCTCAGTTTGGACAAGTAAAGATATCCTTACTATGAAACATTCTTAAATACACCAGACAATTCTATGTAGCACAGTTATAGTCATCTGAGTCATTTTGTTACTATACCTGTATGACTTACCATTTATGACTTTGTTTTCCTCGCGATAGTCTGTACAGTATTTTAGAAAAAACAAAACAAAACACCAATCAAATAAGAATATGACACTGTTCTAGGTTCATCTATGTTGTGACACGCATCTCAAGACTTCACTTAGATTTATGGATAACAACCCATTGTGTACACACAGTACATTGTGTTTATCCATGCATCTGTTGTTAACAGTTAACTGGAGATACTTATTTACAACAACAACAACAAAAAAGACTACTATAATGCCTGTACACAGTATATCAGCAAATACTGACTTAAAGATAACAGCCCCTTCTTTCTTGAAGATTTAAAAAAAATTTTCCCCCTCTAAAGCCAGAGGAGAAAAACAAAGCTAATAAATAGATGAACTTTATTTCAAACATGAGGGGGCTTAAAAATGTTTGTGGAAAAATGGAATGAAAAGAAAATGAAATTTTCCCACAAACTTATTAACGACCCCTTGTAAGTGAATGGCAGGCCATTTCCCTAGGTCTTTGTCTCCCATTTCTCTGGACTCTTTTCTAATTCTTCTAATGTACTTAAAAATCTTATATTCAGAATCTTCATCAACCAGAGATCCCATAACTACCACCAGCTCAATCACCACAAAACATTCTGGATTAAGGAAGCCAGAGGACCATCCTTATTGTTAAGTTTTCCTATTTTACCGAAATAATTTCATTGTTCAATTTTTGCAACATGCAACAAATTATCAAGTGATCCCTTCATTTGAAGACTGAAAACCAGAGATGATGGACTGAAAGAAATCTACAGTTCTTTAGCTGTAAAGCCAAGGCTAGACTTTGTCTCCTCTGAAACTCAGCTCTATTTTTTCATGCTGCATGGGTAAGTCAAAAGTCTGCCAGCATGGTTCTAGTTCATATATCCATAGGTTCTAGTTCATATATCCATGGGTTTATTCCTGACAAAACCTGTGTCTAAGCATGTCTCTGGAATCCTTGAATAGCTGCAGACAAGTTCTCTCATCAATTGAGGGGGTTCAAAAATTCATGAAAACTGGAATTGAAAGATAATGTAATTTTTAATGAACTTTCTGAAGCCCATTCAAACACTTTTTCCAGTCTCAAAAGAGTGCCTGATAAAAACAAATTCTATCAAAACAGTGATGTCCAAGAGGAATCTGCTGGGTCAGTTAAATTCAAAGTGGAGAGGTCAGCCCAGATGGTGACAGTGGCTGTTCGAAATGGTAGCTTTGATAGAAGGTGTTTTAAGAAAATTGAAAACTGTAGTGATGAGAAAAACGCCCCAGGAAAGTTGCACCACGGAATGTTTTTCCATCACAGCAATGCACACACTCATTCTTCCAGGGTAGCAAGAGCTGCCCGAGGAGAATTTTACTTTCCCTATATCCCAGAGAGCCTGCTTTGTGTTTGTTTGCATTCAAAGGGAACAGGATTGAACTCATTTGAGGATGGGAAACTTCCTTTTGACTTGGTGTAAAGTGAAGAGCGCAGAACTACTTGAGGAAGGGTTAGAGAGGTAGAAACACTGCCATCAAAAGTGTATAAACCTAGATGGAAGAGATGTTGAGAAACAAGAGCTTTGCATTTACCAATTTTTAATAAAAATGTCTATGCTCTTGTAACAATACATTTTGACTTGCCCTCATATACTCCTGCTAGAATTAATATTCACTGAAAAAAACACAGGTCCTAAAAATTATATCATTATACTTTAGTATGAGCTTTGTTTATCAATTAATACATAAAAATCAAGTTATTAGAGTTTGCAAGAAATCACTGATGTCCCTGCATGGTCACTTACTTTCATGCACTTAGTCTTTGCTAATACAGTTGTGAATATTTGTTTTATCTCAGAATAGTAATTTCACAGTAATATAATAAGTTATGCCTAGTTTTTTGTGTGTAAGAGAGAATTTTATATCAAAGAGTAATTGTATATTAAGAAAACATCCCAGCCCAGTCCAGTTCAAGTATGTAAGTCCGATATTAGTCCATATGTCCAATACCAGTCTATAAATTCCTCTTCAGACTCACATAGTACATGCAATGATGCCAAATGCAGCAAGATCATAGGCCAGTGGGTGGAAAGTCTTGTGGATCCATGGTGTTGCAAGCATCTCAATGTTGGCCTGGGTCTCCACGTGGCTCCTCCAGTTCGAGGGCTCTGGATCCATCATTGTAGCTCCATGTGTCTTGTCAGCAGGAAGATGAAGCAGAGTGTGGGTCTGGTCTCCAGTGAGGAAGAGAAGAGTTCCCAGAATCCTCAGGAGAAGGCCATGCCCACATAGAGGCCTCACTGGCTGTGGCCTGATTGACAGGGTTGACTGTACCCCTTTGAAAGTTGACAGGAGATTATATAAGGGCCACACCAGTATCAGTCTTGCCCTGGGTCTAAGAGGGTCCCAGCAAAAGGACCCTGGGTCCAAAGAACATGCTCTGCTCTGGCTCTTCTTTCTTGATGGTAGTGAGGCTCCTGCTCTCTCTCCTTGTATCTCTTTTTTTAAAAAATGATTTTATTGGGGGCTTGTACAATTCTTATTACAATTCATACATCCATCGTGTCAAGCATATATGTACATTTGTTGCCCTCATCATTCTCAAAACATTTGCCTTCTATTTTAGCTCTTATATCAGCTGTTCATTATCTCCTTCCCTCCCCACAGGCTGGTGTGCTTCTTCCATGTGAGCTTTATTGCTTCTGAGCTAGTTGGCTGCTTGTTTATCTTCAAGCCTTTAAGACCCCAGATGCTATATCTTTTATTAGCCGGGAACCATCAGCTTTCTTCACCACATTTGCTTATTCACGTTTGTCTTCAGTGCAGTGATCATATCAGGAAGGTGGGCACCCACTGAAACGATTTTTAGTTCTTTGATGTCTGATAACTGGTCCCTTCTACACCTCGTGGTCAGACAGGCTGGTGTGCTTCTTCCATGTGGGCTTTGATGCTTCTCAGCTAGATGGCCGCTTGTT